GCTCTAAAAGGAGCTCCCGGTGCATCAAAACTACGCTTGTGAAGTATCGAGTCTTTTATCTACCGGGCAGAAGAAACCAAATAATGTTTTCGCCCAAAAACTCAACAGACGAGCTCATTCTGAAGCAACGCTGCCACCTGCAGGAGGCTGAGGAGGTCTGAAGACGTTGGGCGGGTGCATATGTGCTTCTGTTTTCAGTAACAGAGAGAAAAAGGACGAAATCAGAAAAACGTTCAAGTGTCGTCGGGAAAAAAATTCAAAACGTTAGTAGAATTTACATAAAGAGGAGGAGAAAAGCGGCCCGTGTGTCTCTGGCGAAAGGAACTAATCACTGAAGGTTCGAATTAAACTACAATCTCCGGGGTTTTCTTTTTATCCGTTCCATTTGGTGACTTTTAATGGAGCGGCGGCGCCGCCCGCCCATGCTCTGCTCCTCTTCTTTGCAAGGAAGTGGATGTCGTTTGGGCGGGCTGGGTGGAGGAGGCGGGACTCGTGCTGGGGGGCGGCGCAGGGTGGTTTGTCTGTCTTGTGTCTTGTCGGGTGTAAACAGCACGTAGGCAGCGTTGCGTCTGCACGACGGGACAACAACAACAACAATTCAATACAAACAGTAACTGCCAGTGGTCGCTCTGCACGTTGTTAATCAGATACAGAACTGTGGTATGTGTCAGTGACGTCAACGTGCGCTACTAACAGCACCCTGATCACTTTGGTTTACCGACTTTTTTCAGGGGGTTTTAAAAACTGCTGTGAAAAATGTCTGCATTAACTGGACCACGAAGTTTCTGGTCTCCCTGTCGTTACGGTCACCTTGCTTGGTGTCAAAGTAATACCACTTGACCGTTTGTCCTTGTTGCACGCATAAGCTGGTGTCTGGAGGAGCACACACACGCACACACACACATCACACCACACACACACCACACCCACTTGTGAGTGCACAGGGTGGAGAAGTAAAATGTTTGCTGAACAGTGGAAAGACAAAACCAAAGGGACGTTACAATGTCCGTCTCTGAAGTCCCTCGTAGTGATTGGACACAGCGATGAGGTCGATCATAACAGCTCGGAGGCTCCCATTGGAGCACATTCTTCTTCAGGAGGCAGCCAGAGAGTCCAGTCTCTGCAAGACCAGCACACATTACAGTTCAGTGTGTGTTGTTGTGTGTGTTGTTAGTGAGACAGTGTGTGGTGTGTGTGTGACCTGAGGGGGAAGTTCCCCGATGCCTGTCCAGTTTCTCTCTGGTGACTTGGTGTAGGTATAGAACCTCTTCAGGTGGATGATTGAGAACCTCCGGCAGAGACAGAGGTCCAGCTTCTTCGTGGCCAGCTGGTGCTTCTTACACACCGGACAGTACCTGGCAGACACACACACACACACACACACACCATATCACAACACCTTTCTCAACTGGTTCAGATCAACCAACATTTTGTACTGGTGTGTGTGGGTTTAGTGAAGAACTGGGTGTGTGGTGTTGTGTGTGTTTTTTTTGTTTTTGTGTCGTGTTAGTGAGACTGTGTGTGTGTGTGTGTGTCGTGTGTGTGTGTGTGTGTCGTGTGTGTGTGTGTTGTGTGTTAGTGAGACTGTGTGTGCTGTGTGTGTGTGTTGTGTGTGTGTGTGTGTGTGTGTGTGTGTGTGTTTACCAAGGGTTTTCTCTCCTCCAGTGTCTTCCACAGTGGTGAAAACAGCTCGACTGCACTCCTCTGCAGCTGCACCGGTGGTCTGCTGTGAGGAAACCTCCATACTGGCACTGTTTCACGTACTTCTGTCTGTACAGGAGGAGAACACGGGGTGAGAATTAACGGACGGTTCACACACACAAACAACAACACACACCACACTTTTTCTACTGTTACCGTGGTCAGGATCAAATATAATTAGATTAATCTTTACATTGGTTGGGATTTGATTTTAGTTTCATTCCTGTACTTTTAATCTGTCTAATCACAGGTACTCATGTGAATTTAGTGTAAGCTGAGATATTTGTAGAAGAATATATAGAACGTGTTCAACAGAGCTTATACAGGTTATTGTTTTCCTTTGATTAATAGATAATATTCTTTTTTATAGACTCTTTTGACAGTGCCTATAATACCACCACACCCACACAGCGTAGCACGGACATTGAGATGCTTCATTTTCATACCTCTCTCACTCACGATTAAGGACATACGGCCATAAACTAATTATTGAACAACACGCAATGACACACAACGGACTAAGCGACAAGCACACACATCACCACCAACACACCAACCGTACAACAGTCGTACTCCTACTAATAAGAGTGTGTGATATAGTTTCTATATCTGTGTGTGTGTGTGTGTGTGTGTGTGTGTGTGTGTGTGTGTGTGTCTGTGTGTGTGAATGTGTGTGTGTTTTGCTCACGCCAGCCTCTGCAGGAACAGGTTGTAGAGCGCCTCCCGGCTGCAGCTGCTGCGCGGCGTACTGAGCAGCAGCGGGTGTCCGAACAGCGTGGTGCCGTACGAGCTGCTGCCGGAGCCGTAGTCTCTGTAGTGAGAGCGCTCCCTCAGGTAGAGAGCCAGCAGCACCTGCTCCTCCTGCTGCTCCTCCTGCTGCTCCTCCTGCACGCTCAGCTCGTACCTGAACAGAGAGAGCGCCGCTCACATGACTCATCACAGCACTCATCACAGGACTCATCTCTCTCACACACACACACACTAACTAACACACACTAACACACACTGACGGGAAACCAACTCATAAAGTCTGAGGTTTTCTTACACAAAGATGTCGTCTCGGTCCAGAATGCAGCTGAGAGATTCATCAGCGTTGTAGATCTTATAGAAGCGGTGGTTGAACACATCAGCTACCACCATCTGAAACACACACAGTTTACAGCGATGTAGAAATATGATAAAAGACACTAGAAGCTCACTTCCTGTTGGTGGGTTTAATTTAACACGCAGCATGTGCGGACAAGACTGATGAGAAATATCGGTACGTTTTCAATAAAAAGGAGCCGACGTTTTGTAACGGGCACAGTGGTAAATGTTTGTCACTCTGTAAACCTTTAAAAGCTCACAGAGGATCTGGTGATAGACTATCAGTCGGACAGTTATCTGACATTTTCACATATTTATTATCGGCCAATGAATGCTGATAAAGACAAACTGCAGGCGGTGTGTTCAGAGCGGCTGCACTGTAACTCCTGCTGTAAACCACTGCCACTATTGTCCTATCTCCAGAATCACTTACAAACGCTCATATAAGCTGCAGCTTTGGGCACATTCATTTGGCCACAGCCATCAGTAACAGTTTAAATCAAGAAGAATTTATTTTATTTTACAGAAAATTCATCTTATAGAAAGTTAATTGTTCATTTCACGTACAACTAACATCACCGTGCATCTGTCCATCAACCTCAGCAACAAGACATTTGGTCATTAATTAAAAGATTCGATGGCACAAAGATCTCTGCAGTCAGTAAACCTGCTTAAAGCTTCATACAAACAGAATACACACCCCCACACACACACACACACACACACACACACTGACCTGTGTGGGAGGGACGCTGGTCATCTCTGACAGAGCAGAGCAGAGGTCAGATACTTTTCCTGCTTTAGGAACCACAACGCGATGCTGCAGACACACACACAGAGACACAGTGTGTTACAGTACATTCATAATGCAGCTAACAGCTACCGGCAGGTAGAGGCGGTCACCTGTGCAGGTTTGGCGTACGGGTCCAGAGAGACAAAGAAGACCTCCATGACGCGCTCCTTGCTGACAGGAAGCGGGACGCTCAGGTAGCAGAAGGGGTCGAAGGTCACCGAGACCTTGCGGCACTCCGGACAGACGAGCGTGGACTTGAAGAGGCCGTGAAACGTGTCGACGATCACAGAGTCGTTCCGCCGGCGGTGGTTGCGCCACGCCTCCTCGGCCACTTCCTGCGGGACAGGAAGGAGAAACGTGAACGGTGAGAAAGGAGGAGTGTCGCAGGGCGTCGGTTGTCTCTCCGGTGCGGGCGGAGCAGCTCACCTGGTCCGGACGGCCGGCGGCGTCCCGCAGCTCGATGTACTCTTTGTTTTTGACTCGGTTCAGGTCTTCGTGCAGTCCGTCCAGCAGGAAGGACAGCAGCTCCTGACTGTCGTGTTGCTGGTAACCCAGAAACTGAGACGCAAAGTGACCCACCTTCGTCTGCGCGCACACACACACACACACATCAGGACATGCATTACTTTGTGTCAGTTCAACAGGTTCACTTTGAGACGTTTTAAGACCCATTTCACATCCATACTGGCAAAAAAGTACGAAGGACATGAAGGAATGTTGGCTGTTAGGTTACTGGTTGTCAGTATGTCAGTTACTTTTTGTAGTTACACCATGATCACTACAAACATTAACTTCATTAACCTGTTGAAGACCCCACTGCGGTAATGTCTGCATTTCTCACACTGATCGCTTTTGAAAAAAAGGAACCAGAATCAAACTGTTAATTTCCTCGTTATGTGTGGAAGCTGCATTAAGCTTCGTCAGCAGGTTTTTATAGTTTTGGTTTTTCCATCTTCAAAAGCAG